ATCAGAGATATGTCACATGAGATTGGGTCTGCGCTGCGGGCTGTACACCAGGTGGAGAAGACAGACCATTTAAGGGCATAGAGGCGTCTTGTAGACGGTGCTGTAGCCTGATAGATTGTGTTTAGCATGTTCTCGGGGAGGTTCGCAAGCTCTGATCGAGAGGCCAAAGGTGCAGAGCCCACAGCTCGGGCTGGGGGTGCCATATCGTTCCGTTCGCCTGAGAGAGGAGGTCCCGTCTCAGGGGAATGGGCCACGGGGCTGCCGAGAGCAGCCGGCACAGCTCTGCAAACCAGTGCTGGTTCCTCCAGAGCGGGGCCACCAACAGCACCTTGCGTATCTGTTCCCTGACTCGCCTGATCACCTGTGGAATCAGAGAGATCGGTGGAAAAGCGTAAAGGAGGAGGTTGGGCCAGTCATGGGCCAACGCGTCCCTGTCCTTCGAAAAGTAAGTTGGGCAATGACAGTTGTCTTCTGAGGCGAAGAGGTCGACCTCTGCCCTGTCGAATTTCTCCCAGATTTTCGGAACCGTTTGAGGGTGGAGCGTCCACTCCTTTGAGGTGACGTTGCTCCGAGACAGCATGTCTGCTCCTTGGTTCAGCCTGCTCAGTATATGCGCTGCTCTCAGCGAGCGCAAGTTGAACTGAGTCCATTCCAAGAGGCGCTCCACTAGTGCGAAGAGGCGCTTCGATGAGAGACCGCCCTGGCGATTTATATAGAACACTATCGTCATGCTGTTGTAGCGGACTAAGACGTGGTGTCCCCTTAGGTCTGTCAGAAAGGTTCGAAGGCCAAGACACACTGCCAGCATTTCCAGGCAGTTGATGTGAAGCAGGCCTTCCTCTTTTGACCAGTGGCCGAAAGCTGGCTTGCCATCGCACAGTGCTCCCCAACCCGTGTTGGAGGCATCTATCGAGACTACCTTCCTTCTGCAGACCATTCCAAGGGGCACGCCCCATTCCATCCAATGAGGATCTTTCCAAGGGGCCACGACTGATACACAGGCCCGGTCTACCTTGACGCGAAGGTGTCCGAGACGCCAGGCGCGGGATGGAACTCGTGGTTTCAGCCAATACTGAAGGGGCCGCATGCGGAGCAGGCCCAACTGTAGTACCGGAGACACCGACTCGCTCTCGGCTGGGGGAACCGTTTCTATGGCTCCTTTTGCCAGCAAATTCATCACCTCGGTGCGTAGGATGTGTTCATCCTCGCTCTGAACCGAGGTGCAGACCATGCCACTGAAATGTGGGGGTCTTCGAGCAAATTGGAGTGTATAACCTCGATTTATTATCTCCGTGACCCAGCTTGACACTCCGGGGATGGCCTGCCTGGCCTCGGCCTGCGTGGCAAGGGGCTGGATTGGTTCAAGTGGTGGGCCTTCAAAGGGGGACTCGACGCTCGCAATGAGTGGCAGAGTGGAATGAGTGGAAGAGGAAATTTGCTCTCTTTTTGAAAATGTTCTTTATTTTTTATTTTTATTTTTCCCGCTATAACAGCGGTTGGTTGTGTGAACGCAATTAGAACGGGCCCCATGTTCACCACAGTATTTTTGGTTACAAACACACTGCCAACGGCACCCGGAACTGAACGGGGTGCTTAGAGGCATAACAGAGGTGTTTTGGGGGGTGGTCCGGCTGCAGCGAGACTTGGCCCCCTCCTCTACCTGTCCCGCAGATCAAGATGATGCCTGCGGCACAGGGTCCAACACTATCTTGGGTCGGGGGCCCTGGCGTTTAGGAAACTGGCGGCGTCTGGCCGAGCGGGAGCGCTTGTAAGGATGATTGCAAGACCTGGTGATCTCGTCGTGGACCTCCAGAAAGAATGGTGAAGCTTGTTGTCGGGGGGCCTGACTGCGCCCCAGCAAGAACCACTCATCCAGGTGGCTGCGGGAGGGCTCCTCCGGCGGAGACCACTCCAAGTGGTTACAAACACACTGCCAACGGCACCCGGAACTGAACGGGGTGCTTAGAGGCATAACAGAGGTGTTTTGGGGGGTGGTCCGGCTGCAGCGAGACTTGGCCCCCTCCTCTACCTGTCCCGCAGATCAAGATGATGCCTGCGGCACAGGGTCCAACACTATCTTGGGTCGGGGGCCCTGGCGTTTAGGAAACTGGCGGCGTCTGGCCGAGCGGGAGCGCTTGTAAGGATGATTGCAAGACCTGGTGATCTCGTCGTGGACCTCCAGAAAGAATGGTGAAGCTTGTTGTCGGGGGGCCTGACTGCGCCCCAGCAAGAACCACTCATCCAGGTGGCTGCGGGAGGGCTCCTCCGGCGGAGACCACTCCAAGCCCAGCTCCTCCACAGCTTTAGACAGGACGCAGAAGAGCTCGGCGTCCATGCCCATGCTGAGTGTGCTGGGCTGTACAGATGGCAAGGGGGCGTACGACCCCGACAGCTCCTCCGCATCTGAAGCCTCCAACGACATGCTGTCGTCCATGGTGTCACACTCGCTTCCTCCAAATGAAACCAGATCGCTCGCAGCCGCAGAGGGACGCTGGTCTGGGAGGGAGAAGTGGACTGGAGAAACCTCTCTGAGTGGACAGAGTGAGGCATGCGGGGGCTCAGCCGGCGTGGGCTCACTCGTCACCGAGCGACGAGTTCCTCTGCCCCGCTGCTTTTTCCTCACAGGCTCCTGGGAGGAAGAAAGCAGGAGGACGCGAGGGGCAGAGTTGCTCTCTGAAAAGAAAGCTTTCCACGAGCGCAGAGAGGCGAGACTCATATCCTCGCAATGAGGACATTCCATCTCAATGAGTGCTGCTTCAGCGTGGGCAGCGCCCCATGCATGAAACACACTCACCGTGAGCATCAGCGACTTGCAGGGGGGCCCTGCATGAGTGACAGTATCGGAGCGGCATTTTGAAACAACGCAAAAAATTTGCTCTGTTATATCGCTGGATAGTGGCAGGGAACCGGAGACCGTCGCTGCAGCAGGCGCGAGGGTGGCGTGAATTGGCGAGAATGGCCGAGCAGGAAGGGGTCTCTCGATCCGCTACGAGGCTTGATCACGGTGAAGGCTTCATAGTCTCGTAGAGTGAAGATCTAGTAGTCATCGCTGAAGGAGAATAATTTGAGGATCCTATGGCGATGTGCCGCTAATATAGCCAGATGACCCCGCCCATTCTGGCGGGCTTTGGCTGGCTTTACTGCCATTGGTTCGTTTTTTATTCTCTAACCAATGGCTGTGCAGTTACACTGCATTATTGAAAGGTTTCAGTCATTGGAGAAAAATGAATTTTCCCCAAGCGTCTTAAACAGACGCAGTACGAGTGAAGTATCGATAGGGAACTGAATTTATGAAGCAAACATCAACACTAAAATAAACGTTCAATCAATACACATGAAAGTCACATTCATTATTGTAATACTCAGTCTTACTGAACCCAAATCGTTAAAGGGGTCCTATTATTTAATTTTACAAAGTCTTGATTTGGATGTTGGGATGTACTAGAACATGTTTTCTGGCTTGATTGTTCCAAAAACACATTATTTTTCACATATTTTACATTACTGCTGCAGTTCCCAGTCTGTTTAGTTTGTTTGCATGCTCTGTTTAGTTCCTGTTTTGATAAAAACCCTCCTCCCAATAATATGAAATGTTCTCTGATTGGTTAGCTGTCCCAGTGCATTGTGATTGGTGAACCTCAGAGCGTGTTCCAGAAAAGTCACGCCCCTTACCATAAACCGAGACATGGTGACAACATGCTACTAAAGCAGATTTTCTTCTTCTTTCTTTCTTTCTTTCTTCTTCTTCATCTTCTCTAGCGCAGTTTAACCAGACCTCGCCCATAGCCAGGGATCATTTAAATGAGTGACATTTTGACTTCACAATATCTGGAAGAAGCACACTGTAGTCTGAATGAGCCATTATAGTTCTTGAAAAGTGTTTTCTGTTAAATATAATGTCTCCTTTTAGAGTGGACTTTGAGCTTTGATAACCTTGCAGATATATATATATATATATATATATACAGTGGGTACGGAAAGTATTCAGACCCCCTTAAATTTTTCACTCTTTGTTATATTGCAGCCATTTGCTAAAATCATTTAAGTTCAATTTTTTTCCTCATTAATGTACACACAGCACCCCATATTGACAGAAAAACACAGAATTGTTGACATTTTTGCAGATTTATTAAAAAAGAAAAACTGAAATATCACATGGTCCTAAGTATTCAGACCCTTTGCTCAGTATTTAGTAGAAGGACCCTTTTGATCTAATACAGCCATATATATAAACATATATATTAAATGCTTACATTAAAAATTGCAAGTTACAAATGAAACATGACACACTAACTGAAGTTGAAAAAGTGAAATTTCGTCATAAAAATACCAGTAACAAAAAAGCTACAGAAATCATGCTTATACATTTTAAACATTTCCACAGCTGAAATACACTAACTCAGACATGTTTCATGTATTTACTTGTTACTACTTGCAGTTCTTCAGATTTTTTCCCTCTTCACAAGTTTTCCTATCATTTTCATTTATAATTCATTTTCGAACAGAACTTTTGTATATATTGTCTTCACATAATTCTGAAGAAATTTAATATTAAAGTTTTATATTCTTCTACTGACTTTGAAAAAAATGCAAATAATTTAAAGGCATTACAATTTTCAGAATTAAACTGGATACTGAATTTTGATTGATTCACTTTCCTGTAATTTTTTGCTGATTTACAGGATTGTTTTTACTTTTGCCTGTTTGTTCTATTTGCTATCCATATCACCTGCACCTTTTTCATTCACTGTACACTAGTAGGTGCCTTTTCGTCCTGTTAGTCAATAAATCCTTGGTAAACACTGCATGTATAATGATGGTCCCAAGCATGATTACTTGCAGCTTCTGTTTAGCCAAGCAGTGTTGTAAAGTGTGTCACTGTACACAACAACCTCATCTCATATGGAAATATTATTGCATTCCATAAACATAGAGTGACTACATGGTATTAGTTGTGTGTTCAATGTGAAAGATATCTTGAAATGTGTGTTCAAAAACAGGTATCAGACCTTTGTCTCTGAGGACGCAGGGCCCAATACTCTGGTTGCAACAGTTCTGGCCAAGGACCCAGATGGAGATGGGATCACATACAAAATTACAGCAGGCAATGAAGGCGGCAACTTTGTCATCGACAGTCAGAAAGGTGAGACATCCTTTTCAGATTTGGTATTACTCTTTTGATCTCTCTGACAGCCGTTTTATGCTATATAAACATTCACTAATGAGCAGTGCAGTAGACAAGTCTTAATTCAGTGGTTTCTTTCAAACTCATTACATTGCATAATTTTATACATAAGTCATTTAAATATTAATGATACTTTATTAATATTTAATAATTAAATGTACTTTCACGGTAGGAGGATCACTGCAGGGCAGCTATTCAAACAAAAGTCTTTATCCATCTTTTAATTTGGACATTATTTAGATGCCAGTGAAGTATTGTATATTTATTTAATGTATGGGAGAGAGGTATAGGCATGAACATCATGCAGGCCAAACTAAAACTTGTGTTCTAGTGAGAAAACAGCAACACCAGCGCATACGTCAATGTTGTACCACTGCTCCAATAGTAAAAAGATTTTGTTGTAGAACAAACAGTATAGAGAGGACGAGAAATTATGTGGGAGGAGTTAGGATGGAGTTTGAAGATGCTTCCCAACCAGAAAAGAGGACTTTAATCTGAAGGGTCCTTAAGGGTTAAATGAAGACACAATGTTTAGTGTGAACATCTGGTAAACGGTAAAATCCAGAATGGCAGGAGAGTGAGTGAAATCAACAGCAACATCTTTTGGAATGTTTAAATACATAATGTACTGTATTTTAGATCACACTAGTTCAATGTTTTTATAATTAAGCAAAAGTACAGACATGAATAATGCTTCAATGTATCAAAGTTGCATTTCAAATCAGTTTAAAAGTTGCCATGTATGTGTTACGGCTTGCCAGGGCGAGACGCACAAAGGAGGCAGATATCAAACAGACGGAGTCTTTTAATAAATCCACTTAGGAAAATCAGGAGAACACAACCACTTAAACGACATCAGACAGTACAAGGGAACTGAGGAAAACACAGGGCTTATAAACACATGGAACATAATCAGGAACATCAGAATAGATAATAATCAGAACAGAAACAGGTTAGGAGTAATCAAGGATAATTAATAAAACACAGCTGAGACAAACGCGTCCCGTGCCATAACAATACCACCGGGGAGGGGTGGGGTGGGCGCCCTGGAGGCTGGTGCAAGACAGGGACACGGGGAAGGCCTCCAGGGCGGATCATACAGTCAGAGGAGTCAAGGCAGATCAGGGGACTTGGGAGGCCATGGTGGATCGGGCAGTTCAGGGGGCCATGGAGGTGCCGGCCATTCGGGAGGGCATGGAGTTGCCTTCGTGGCCTTGTCCAGGTCCCCCGGCTCGGCCACTATGGCCACGGATATATGCCCCCCCCCCCAAAAAAAATTATTGGGGAAAACTAGGTGTTTCGATGCCCGGAAGGGTCGCTGGAGGGTGCTCTGGAGGAGCAGGCACTGGAGGGCGCTCTGGAGGAGCAGAGATGGTTAACACAGGAGGCTCAGGAGACGTTGGAGGGCTGGACGGGTCCAGCGGAGGCGAAGGCGACTCAGGAGACAATGGAGCTGGACAGGACCAGCAGAGGCGAAAGAGACTCAGGAGAGCTGGACAGGACCAACGGAGACGAAAGAAAGCTTTCTGGAGCCGATTCTGGGGTGAGGATAGGAGCCGAGAACTCTGGGGGTAGCGCCATGTCCATGAGCTCTGAGAGGCATGCTGGAGCCGACACTGGAGCGAGCCTAGGGACCAGAACCAACCGCCTTCTCCTCCTCAGATTTCCCTCTAGGCTCGGGGTGAAAGGCGAGATAGGCGGGCTTGACTTCAGAGCGGCCAGCGGGCTTAAGTGAGCCACGGCCGGCGGGCTTGTGTGAGCCGCGGCTGGCGGGCTTGACAACAGGAAAAACAGGCAAACAAACATTTTCAAAACCAAAAAACAAACATGGGTAGAAGGGGCACCGCTTACTATCTTGGTCCTGTCTTCTGTCACGGGTTGCCAGGGCGGGAAGCACGAAGGAGGCAGATATCAAACAAACAGAGTCTTTTAATAAATCCCCTTACGAAAATCAGGAGAACACAACCACTTAAACGACGTTAGACAGGACAAGGGAACTGATGGGAAAAAAACAGAAACAGGTGAGGAGTAATCAAGGATAATTAATAAAACACAGCTGAGACAAATGGAACTTAATAAAACAGGAAACAGGAACTACCAAATAAGGACAAACAGGAACATACTTGTGACAGTATGATTGCCATTAATCATATTTACTTTTTTTATAATCATCACTTGAACAAACAAGTCATTGGTACTTTCACATACACAAAATTAGCCACTGACTAATTATAAATAGGCAATTATTGTAAAGCGTTTATTTTGAGCAAAACTGTTAAAAGTTAGTTAAAACACCCACACAGGGATATAACTATTAATATGAAATCCGTTTCTGCCTTAGAGTAGAGAGAGAGAGAGAAAACATTTCACATTGTGAGAAATGAAGTCAGTTGTTAGAAATAAAGTTGCAGTTGCAAGAAATGAAATCACAATTCTGAGTAAGTATAGCCAGAATTTCCATTTTATTTTATTTTATTTTCATTTTTTTTTCTAACTCTAAACCATAAGTTGGAAATGGGAAATATGAAAGATCCAGTTGGTAAGCGTTTTAATTGTATTATAAGTGTATCCTTTAGGAACCATGTGTGTGTACAGATCAGACACTTTGAGTCCCTTGATGATTACAGAACTTTTCACTGGGCATTGGAACATTTCTATTAACTAATATGAAAATGCAGCATCTGTTTATCTCCTGCAGTTTTGAAGAAATGTAGTAATGGCTCAGTAAATATAATATTTATTGGCAACTACAAATACAAATTTCTTAACTCCTCAAAGTAACAGCATTTGCTAAACAACTGATGACTTAATTGCAACACACTCCTCAAGCAGTGAAAGAGTTAGGCATGTTTTGATTGATTGCGTTTTGATTGAAGAAGATTGATCCGTAAGGTACAGACTTCACTTGTCCTCACAAAATATATTTGCTGCTTACCTTCACACTGCCCCAATTTAGTGCTCCATTCAGGTGATTCAAACATGCACCGCTTCATTGGAAGCACCGCGGTTCCTTGAAGAGTGTCTCTGTTGATTCCCTTCCCTGCATATTCCTCCTTTTCTCTCCTCTAAATATCAAAGCTTTTCTTTATTGCCCCTTCTACGGCTCGTCAGATCTCCGTCTCTCCTGAAATTCCCTCTATCATTCATTAGAGCCTCTCCTCCATTAGGTTGTTTTTGTTGGTGCAAAGCAGGGCTCAGACGCTTGGTGCTTGTTGTTAATTTACTTTAACTCACAGAGGAATGTGCTCAGTTTGATTTAATACCCCTTTAAGGATTCAAACAGCAAAGTCAATAAGATGATCAGGCCTTTTGTATTAAAGACATAAATACAAAAACTGCATCCGGTCCATGAAGGTTGTATTTACCGGCACAGCAGCGTAGTGTTTACGCTGATAATCAGTCAGATCATCGCCAGCACACAGGACCTGTCAAGCATTTTTATTTTCCTCTGTTATTTGTAGTGTTTTGATTTTCCTTTGTTCTTTGTCCTGCTAAAAGGCCTCGTGTTAAACAAGGTTCCAACATCCGAATGTCTGGTAATGGAGAAATGCATTGCAAAAAAGAAAAGACTACCAGAAAAAATATTTGGCTGACAGGCTGTTAACATTGCACAAAAACTGATAGATTGTGTAATTAATGATGCTCTGGATGTGTCCAGCAATCCATAAAAGAGAATACACAAGCTATAGTTTTTGTGAATATATATATATATATATATATATATATGTATATATATGAAGAGTTCAGATGCAAAAGCCTCTAAATGCCGTCTGAAATTTTCTTCTAAAATGAGCATTTTTATCAGGCCCCTATATTTACGTTCAGTTATCCCGACCTACAAACTACGTTACATTGGTGCCGAAACCCGGGAGGAAGGAGGGGCACGCTGCCAGAGATCCCTCACCGCAGGGGTGAGTCCGCGGTGCCATCGAGTATGGCGGGGCAGTCTGCCGCCATGGACGCTCGGGGCGGTGGGCTGGAGTGAGTTGCCGGGGGCGGACGAACTCGCTGCCGGCCGCCTGGGATGTGGAGGGACGGCTGCCGTCCGTGAGGGAGCGGAGGAGTCTGCCCGTTCGCCAGGAGGCCGGAGCCTGCTGCCATCCGCCATGATTGGGGAGGAGCAGGGAACGGGGGACTCCTGCCGGCTGCCCGAACGCGGAGGAGCCGTCGCCGTCCACTGGGCGGCGGAGGAGTGTCGTGCCGTCCACTGAGGGCTATCCAGTGCTGCCGCCAGGCATCGCGGAAGAGCTTACCCAGCTGGTGGAGGGCCGAGTGGCAGTGTGTCGGGGCACCGGAATCAGAATTTTTTTTTTCCTCTCTCCCCTCTCTCGTCTCTGTCTCTCCTCATCCTTCCGTCTCCTTTTCTCTCGCCTCGTCTGTCTGTCCTTACCCCCAGGTACGCCGCGGCCGCCGTGATCGGCTCCCCCCGGGAGGGGGGGGGGTAGAGCGCAATCTCGGGTGTACCCCCCGGCCTGCGAGGGGCGATGGGGGTATGTGACGAGAGGGGCGGGGCCGAGAGCCGTGGGAACGGAGCGAGGCCGGTGGAGTAATTGCGAATGCGCGACACCTGCGCCACTCACCGGTCTCGAGTCTCACGGAGGAGCTCCGGAAGGATACAAAGGAGGAGTGATGACAGGGAAAGACGAGAGAGGACCAGGCCTGGATTTTATTTTGGTTTTGTTTGTGCGCGACAGTCGTCCGCGAGGGGCTGTCGCGCTGTTTTGGGTTTATTTTATTATTAAAGTTTGTTGAAATGTTCGCCGGTTCCCGCCTCCTCCTTCCCGACTTATGAACTTTGTTACACTATACATTGCCATTAGAGCAAAATTACTGAACCTAAACATAAGGAGCCTGATAAAAATGCTCATTTTAGATGAAATTTTCAGATGGCACTTAAAAGCTTTTGCATCTGAATTCTTCATATATATATGTAGTGGTGCCTGGAGAAGTGGGTATAC